AATCGAGCAAAACTGATTCTGGATTCAGATTCAGCGCAACAAAAACCTTTAGAGAAGTGTAAGCTAGTCCCAGGGTCTGAACTTTTTTTAAATTTTGTAGGCCTGTGTTATAAAGCAAACGTCAAAGCTGTGAAGTTGTGATTTTTTGTGCTCTAGCCCAATAAACACCAAAAAAATATTTCTCCGACCTCGGAGAAATTCATAGTTCTCAAATTGATATTCAACATCATTATCTAACTCATCTCTAACCGACGCGCAGGGGCTCTATTAGGTTCATTCCTTATCTTTTTGGACTAAAATCTGAAAAGTGTCAAAATGCCAGAGCGTAAGCAAAATGCGCTCACTAAAAGAGGATAACAGGAAAAGTAAAGGAACCCAAAAAACCAAATTTTTAGTCCAAAGAATGGCAACAACAAAACTAACGTTAAATAAGAATGGAAATATATGTACAAAACACCTTCACACAAGCACAAGCACAATAAACACTTACTATATCAATTATCTTTTGCCTCCTTCCAATTTCAATTCACTTTTTTTACTTTTGAGATTATTATCACATTTTGCGTATTCTTTAATTTCCGTTAATTTAAATACAGTTGAGTTTGACACTTTTCAGGATTTTGCCAGAAAAAATTCTTCTGACTAAATCTGACTACTTCGGACTGATGAGAGTCACTCTCACTGAGTGTTGCTCTCTCATTTTTGCTGTCATTTCCGAGTTAAGGAACGCTTTTTGGACTAAATCTGTCTACTTCGGACTTTTTCTGACTATTTCTGGGAGATAAGGAACGCTCCTATTCTGTAACTGTGAGAAAATGTAGTATACACCGAGTGCATAACTCACAACCAAAAACTCACCGACTAAAATTCAGTGAGTTTTTCGCAAGTGAAGTGTACACAATTTTGACAGTTAAAACTCATTCTCACACATGCTGAATCGCAAAATGAGGAAGTGTACACAATTTCGACAGCTAAAACTCATTTTCACTCTTCCTGAATCGCAAAATGAAGAGTGCACACAATTTTCAGTGTACACTTGAAAACTCACAGTTACAGAATAGAGCCCCAGATACGCAAAAAGTGATAGAGAAACAAATTTTTAATTATCAAGTGAAAAACCACAGTATATACAGTAATAAACCTTTTCGCAGTTTTTCACCACTTGATCCGCGAGGAGTACTTTTGGGTTATGTGAAGCGTTTTCGTTTTGTGCGCACGGCAACACCTACTGTGGAGAATTTCGCCTGATGATTAGAAAAAGGTCTTCTAGAGGATAAAATTTATATAATAGTGTTATTTATGAACAAAATGTAGGTCAAGTATAGTATCAATGCTTAATTAAGAATAATGAAGGGAATGGAGGGTAAAAACCGTTGGGATTATTATTATTATCAATATTTAAGTACATAATTAGCGCTTGAGTTGCCACATTGTATTTTTTTTATTAAAAAAACGTGAATTTTCTTTATCCATTACCCGGAGCTGTTGCAATATGATGAGTAGATTTTAGTGAACCTCACAAGCCACTGCCTCTGGCTACAAGCAGGATATCTGAATATTGGAAAACAAATAGCAATTATCTTTTTGAAATTATAAGAAAAGTGTTTGTTTACAAAATTACCTGTGCCACTTTGCCTTAGTACGGTTGTTGCTCCCTTTCATACCACAGTAATATTGTATGCAACTCTGAATCAGCGAAATTCAGGCTCCTTCTCATTATCAACCCTGATCAGACTTTACTCCCGAGGAGTACTCAAAAAGTTTTATTACGGTATATACTGTGTGAAAAACGAAAGCTATATAAAGAGGATAATTACCAACAAGAAGTAAATAATCTTCAAAGTATCCTGAAATAATCCATGAACCAACTAAACAGATCACCCAGCACGGCAACCGTGTATTTGTAATTGCATTTTAGAAAAAAACAAATAATTAATGACGTCATTTTTTAATCGGTTGTTTCATTCACACACATGGTTTCGTTCCTTTTCATTCACATGGCGGCGAAAAAATGACGTCATTGCAAAAAAAATACTTTTTTTCTCGCACGCCGTCCTGGGTGATCTTATTCGTTCGTTCATGGAAATAATCTTGAAAGAAAATAAAACGCGAAGTGAATCAAGTCGCAAAATTACTGTCGGACTGTATACTGTGAAGTGAATTATTGTAATTCGATATTGATTAACTACATATGTAATACAAAAGGAGTAATTAAATGAAAAATTAATATTTAAATTCATCTATGTATGTAGTTTCAATCAAAAAGGTATAAGGTATTTTACTATTTCAATTCCAGTATTTCAATGATATGTTTAAGACCAATTGGAAATTACATTGGAGTTCAAGTTGAGAACTAGCATTAGGAGTGTTCGCTATGCAAAAAATTTGTACAAGTTGGTACCAATTGTTAAATCGTGTTCGTTTAGCCAAAAACCCAGTAAAACTTGCAAGGAGAAAGCCAATTTTGACATTTCATTTGGAGGGGAAGTTGCAAGTTCGTGCTGGGAAAATTTTTGCCAGTAAGAATTTGCAAGCAGGATTGAGACACACGGTTGAATTTTTGTCAACATTAATTTGAATCAACAAGTTCGTTAAATTTAAAAATGAACAATCTTGTTGCGATTTACTAATGAAAGAAGTATGTAAATATTCGTTTATTCAATTAATTTAATTAATTCCAAACATTTGAAAGGTACTCGGCTGAAAAAGCTGTATTCGTAATCGGAACGCACTCGACACCACTGTCGATATAGGAAATCCGACAGTGACTTCCACAATGAAATTGAAGCGTATGTTGAAGAAAGTCAGAATAAGAAGAAATATACGTATAGGTCCTGCTTTCGTTTCCACCTGAAATAATTTAAAAAATTTATTATGCTCGAAATGCAACCGTGGACACCAGCTGGCAGTGAAACTTGCTAATGTTTGCTAATTCCTGTTCGCGCAAAACTTAGTAAGTTTCTCTCTTTGGGAGAGTAAGGTACCTTATTCTCTGAATTTTGTTACTGGCTAATTCTTACTGGCAGTTGCATAGCGAACACTCCTATTTTTTCAACTTGAGAAACAGTCCTTTCTACATACGAAGAAAAAATACCTCCACTTGAGGTAGTGTTGAGAAACAACGTTGGAGATTTGAGAAATACCTTCGTTCTTATCTTAACATCAGGTTTATCTCAAACCTAAATGTTTGTTGGGCTCATTTAATACCTTATTTTGCAAGAATTTTAACATTGATTGAAGTGAAAAGTATCAAGAAACGTTTGGTGCGCAATATAAAATTAAGTAAAACATGAAAATTTCTTGTGAATTTGATCAATTTTGTTTAACATTATTAATTGTGTGTCCCGAGCTTTTTCTTTCATATAATTATATTGTTGTTGTGAATTGATTCTGTTTATCCATATTTACAATTGTGTTTGTTTGTGCACATTTATTTTGCTCTGTTTGTCATTTCTGCTATTTCATCGTTGTTACAGATGTTTGCTTTGTGTTTATTTAGTGTCAAAATACATTGTATTTAAAACTTTTCGCTACATAGAATTCATGCTAATATTTATCAGCTGATTGTTTTCTTTTGCTACATCGCTTTTAAAACTGTTTGCCTTTTTGTTCCTAATAATAGGTGCGTTCGTTTAAAATCTCCAACAGAAACCAACCAACTGCCAAATTCCGGCGAAATGTCATCTGTTCGCTCACAAGAGAGAAATATCCAAAATAGTACGCGAACAGAAAATTTGCAGAAACTTGCAAGTTAGACGAACAGCTGATATAATTTTTGTTTACATTCAAAAGTGTAAAATTTAAAACGTTCGAAAACTCATTACAAAGTGGTATCCTGGCACAGTTTATTGATAAAACAAATAACTACTTACTTCTTACAAGTTTAATTAGTCGCATTTTGTAATTTTTAACTTCCAAATCATCAAATTCAATTTTGTGATTTGCATAAATGCCAACCAGCTGTTTTTGATCCTGTTTTCCTGTTGGCAAATTGCTGTTGGCAAAAATTTTTCCAACAGAAACCAGCAGCTTCCCCTCAAAATGAAATGTCACTTTGCTCTCTCAATTTCCCCTACTTTGCAAGTTTTTTGCGTACGCGAACGCAAAAACTTGTAAGTTTTGGTTAAACATGAACAATTAACAGCTACGCGAACGAACCTATTTTATATAAACCTACAAACACATCCATAGATATCATTTCCAATATGTCGTGTATTTACGCCAATTGTCGCGTTAAGAGCGACGCCTATGTGTCATGCCGGCTCTGCGATTGGATTGCCCATATAAAATGTGCTGGTTTGAGCGGTAGGGTGTTAGCCGCTATTAATGAAGGAAAGGGTCTTCGTTGGTCTTGTCAAAAATGCCGATCAAGCGAAGTCGATTTATTTAAATTATTTAGACAGTCCAGAAATAGTTTTTCTGAAGTCGGGAAGGATCTGTTGGCGCTTGTTGGAAAATTTAAGCATTATGAAAAAATGTTTAAGTCTTTCGCATGCCTCGACAACCTTCCAAACACCGAGGAGAGTCGAGAAAATAAGCGTAGGCTCAGTCCTTAGATCTAATCAATCTTTCTTCTCCACGCCCTCAGACATTGGAGCCTGCGCTATCTAAAGCCATATCCACTAGGTCTACGTCTAAAAATAATAACGACAATCAAACTGTTGATCTAACAGTGTTGCCATCGACATCTAAAGCTACCCTATCTAACATAGATCCTCCGAATAACTCGGAATCCCGT